GCTTTAAGATTATAGGTGCTGGAGACTGACCTACAGGGTCAGAGATGGTAAATCTCTGCCAAGTAGAGAGTAAGAGGAACACAGATTCAACAGATGTTGACAGAGGTTTATTCAAAAAGGCCCCCAAGGGGCTGAGAGATGGCTCAGTGGGTAAAGAGCTTGTTGGGAAAGCACAAGCCCTAAATTTGGATCTCCGGTACCTGTGTTAGAATAGCCAGGGGTGATGGCTTGTACTTGTAACCCCAGAACTGGGTGGGGCAGAGACTTGTGTGTCCCTGGACTCACTGGCCTGCCAGTCTAGCCTAATGGATGAGTCCCAGGTTCAGGGAGAGACGCTGTCTCAAAAAATATAGTGAGAGTCACTGAGGATGACAATCAATATCACCTCTGCTCTTCCCATGTACACACACACACACACATACACACATGAGCACACACATACACATACTCTCACACATGAGCACACACTCACATACACACCCACACACATGGTCTCTATATTCCTAGCAGATATTAACCTAGGGATTCTGGAATGAGAAATAAGGATTGTAGGTAAGTCCCAGGAATTCTTAAGATGGTTTGTTAGCTTGTATTTCTCCAACATTTCATGTGTGTAATATTAGGGAAGCAATCGACTATAACAATAAAAAATAGCAAGCAGTTTTCTTTGAGGAGGTTACACACAAATTTCGGACATTTCCCTTTTGGGCTGTGAGCCATCTCTCCAGCCAGATATTTCCCTTTTTCTACAAAGCTCACATCATGGGGTGGGTGTGGTAGTACTTGCCTGTAATCCCAGTATGCAGCAGGCTGAGGCAGGAGGCTCATGAGGCCCAGGTCGTCTCTCTTAGATCAACCCACCTCTGTCAGATTCTTACTTCTCCCTTTTGGGCCAGCCTTATCCCAGTTTGTCACCTGCCTGGTGTGTCCTCTGGTGCCATCTCCCTGTCACCTCAGCTTCTCCAGCCATTGTCTGAATTCACATTCTATCATTCTCTATTGTATTTCCTTGTCTACTTCCTGTCTTCCTCTGCCCCACATGGGATGTTCTTGCTGAATGAAAAAAAAGAAAGAAAGAAAGAAAGAAAAAGGGAAGGAACATGACTGGTCCTAGGTTTGGGTACCAAACGGATGAAAAAAGAAAAGAAAAGAAAACATGACTGCTTCTAGGTGTGGTGGAGGGAAAAGTTTATTGTAGATATATGGGAGAGCATATTCAGAGTAGGGACATCTGGGAGAGTCCAGAGTGGATATCCAAACTGAGCTGGGCCATGTAGGGGGCGGGGAGGGAGAGGGGAGAGACAGGGACAAGGTGTAGCAGTCAGGAGACCCAAAATACAAAGAGTGGGTAACTAAAAATGGTTAGATTATATAAGAAAGAGTAGCCCAGCCCCTGGGCTGGAGAGTTCAGGGTAGGGGTGGGTATGCCAGCCTGGAGGACCCTGTCACAGGGAGTGATGGAGGATGCAGGGAGAACCTGGTGACCAGATCCTCTTTGAAATGTGAGTTACCTCAGCCATTTGTCCCAAGACACCTAACACTTGTTAAAGAGTTTCCTGACTAATCCTGGTCCCCACAACAATGTGGCATGGAGTACTGTTCAGTAATCATTATGAATGAATTGGATGTCCCCCATTGACCCCCCTCCACCCACTCCCCAAGAACGGGGAGGCATTCCATGGGGGATCATCGAATTCTATCATCATTTGGGGGAGGACCTAGGCCCTCCTCCGTGTATCTGGGCTGAAATAGTATCCCTCCATAGGGAATGGGCTCCCAAAGTCCATTTGTGCTCTAGGGATAAATTCTGGTTCCATGGTTAGAGGTCCCATAGACTGCCCAGGCCTCCTAACTGGCACCCACATTCAGAGGGCATGGTTCAGTCCAATGCTGGCTCCCCATCTTTACTACTGGGGTCCGTGTGCTCTCACTAGGTCAGGTCAGCTGTTTCTGTAGGTTTCTCCAGCATGGTCCTTGACTGCTTTGCTCATCCCTCATCCCTCTCTACAACTAGATTCCAGGAGTATGGCTCAGTGTTTAGCTGTGAGTGTCTGCTTCTGCTTCCATCAGCTACTGGATGAAGGCTCTAGGATGGCAATTAAGGTAGTCATCAATTAAAGTAGCCTCTCCACTACTGCCTTTTTTTTTTTTTTACATTTAGGCACCCTTCTCTCTTTTTTTTAAGTTTTTTTATTTGAATTACAAACAAGACTGAATTACATGACAATCCCAGTTCCCTTCTCTCTCCCTTCCTCCCCTACCACCCCCCAACTAAAACCCTACCTATCAAATATCCTCTCTCCTCATCTACACCTGACTCAAACTTTCTGCTCCCTCATGACCTCTGCATCCTTCCTCTTCTTCCCTTCTCACTCTCGTAGCTCCCTCCCCCGTCTTCCCATGTCCTCAATTTGCTCAGGGGATGGTGACCCTTTCCCTTCTCCGGGGGACAAAGTTTGTCTCTTTTAGGGTCCTCCTTGTTTACTAGTTTCTCTCTGCCTAGATTCTTAGTTGGGGTTATCTTTGTGGATCTCTGAACATTTCCCTAGTGCCAGATTTTTCTTTAAGCCTATACTGTCTCTCTCTATTAAGATATCTATTTCTCAGCATGTTTCACCACTAATCCTAATGACAGGAGTTAAATCCCTAGAACCCACATAATGGAAGAGGAGAGAACCAACTCCTTTAATTTATCCTCTGATTTTTACATGATCGCCAGGGCATGCGCGTGTCCCCTATAAACACACTCACGCACATACAAAATAATAAAAAGGGAAGAAGAAAAAGACTAAAAGAACACCTTTTTAAGTCTGTCATTGTTAGCTGGAGCTGGAAACCCTTGTGACCCTCAACTCAGGCTCAATTCCGATCATGATCAGTAGGTGGCAGAAAGGTACCATGGCTGAAGTCTAGACTAACCCATGTGCGGAGTACCTGGGTTTACCCAAGAGCCGTGCTTGCTGTGCACAGGCCTTGCTGGAGGGTGGAGGAGGGATGGAGAGCACCGAGGACAGTTGGCTTCAATGCCTGGTTTTGGCACTGGTTAGGTGACCCACGAAAGTTGCTCCTACACGTGGGTAGGAAAAAGCGACTTCCGGGGCTGTGGGTAGAGCCTGGATCTGCAGGGATCCCTCCTCAGGCTTCAGGCATCTCCCTGTCCTTGTACCTCCCGCAACCTCCACCCACTCTGACCTGTGCCCACGGCAGGACACGGGTGAGGGCAAGCCGCCAGCTCGGCTGAGGTTCGCAGGCGCATCCTTTCCCAGCCTTGTTCTGGCTGTCGCACCTGTTCCCTTCTGGGAACGCAAAACTCCTCCTGCCCCCTTCTCTTCTCCATGACCTTGATAACTTGAATCACTGGGAAGCGAATCTGATTTCCCGGCCTCAGATTTCCTCAGCCTGTTCGCTCCAGACCTCGGCATGAGCACTGCTGCACCGTGCGCCCTCCACCCTGCCCCGCCTGGCTTGAGGGCCCACCCGCTCCCTGCAGGGCTAATTTTGCTCTTGAAATTCAAAACGTGGTTTCTCGCCCAAAAAATGAACCCTCCCTTTCCCCTTGATCCCCTTCTTCCCGCAGCTCCCCCTTCCCCTTTTCTGTTGCCTCTGTAGCACACCTCCCTGAGAGAGACCACGAGAGAGACCACGGCCTGTGCTGGGCAGCTCCTCCCTCACTCTCCTTGCAGCCCTCAGTGGCATCAGAGTCCCTTACTCTTGTCTTACTCCGCCTCTTAACCTCGGCAGCCTTGGACAGAGCTGAGCATCCTTCCCTTCCTTAGACTATGAAGGCCACCCAACACGGGTCCCTCTCACTCTGCATTTCTCCTCTTCAGCTCTCCTCAGAGACCGTCCTTTGTAGGACCCATTTGGAGGTCTGTGCGGCTCATACTTGATGAAGTAGTCTTGATTCCTGCCCTCCTAGCTCCCTCCAGAGTCTGTCCATGGAAGGGCGGGCCTGACCCTAAACCCCAAGGTCTGTTTTTACTTCCCCTCATCCCCCTCCTTCTTTTACAGGGCTGACAGGAGCCTCTCTGCTGCCTCTGAATTCACCCCTGCACCCTGCCTTCACCTGCTCTAACTAACATAAAAACCCTGACTTACTAAGATGCGTGACCGGCCGGCCTGGACCCTCTTCCTGCCTCATCTTAACCTCCCTTCCCCACTCCGCTCACTCTCGTGGGTCTTCTAGCTTTAGCGGAAGTCCATCATCCTGACCTTTGGACCCGCTGTTTTCCTTGTAGAGTTCTCTTATGCGTCACCACACTTCCTCTAGGCCTCTGAAGATCACCTGGCCCCTGTCCAACACACTTCTGCTCACTTAGTCCTCTTCCGCTTTTGTTTCCCTAAGCTCCCACGTCACTTTGTCAGTTACCTATGTGTTTGTTTATGTTGTGTCTTACCTGTAAGGCAAAGCTTTTCCTGTCATGTTGAACGTGGGTCCCTTGGGTCTAGAATAGCCCCATGCGGGTGGATGGATGAGTGGGTGTGTGGATGGTAGGTTGATGAATGATGGATAATGGATGGATGATGGATGGGTGGGTGGGTGATGGGCGGGTGGATCGTGGATTGATGGATGGGTGGATGGATGAACAGGTGGGTGAATGATAAGAGGATGGATGGTTGATAATGAGTGTATGGGCGGTGGTTGTGGAGGCATGAGTGGATGAGAGATGGATAAATAATGATAGATGAATAGCCAGACCTGGTGACTCACACCTTTAATCCCAGCACTCAGGAGGCAGAGGCAGGAGATCTCTGTGAGTTTGAAGCCAGCCTGGTCTATAAAGCAAGTTTCAGGACAGCTAGGGCTACAAAGAGAAATCCTGTCTTGGAAAAAAATGATAGATGAATAATGGGTGGATGATGGTTGGCTAACTAGCTGGCTGGCTGGCTGGCTGGACAGGATGGATGAATGGATGGGTGGTTGAGGAATGAATAAATGTATGTAAATATTCATAGTTCTAGAGACGCAGACCCACAGAACAAACAGAACACACCAGCTCTTGCTTCTAAACACAACTTTCTATTTTCACCAAAGCCAAGTCATATCTATCCTTTGAAGACTCCTTCAGCAGATAGAGATTAATGCTTCCACTCCCAATTTGCAAGCTGTGCAGAGGTCCATGGGTAGCATGCTGTCCTGAAGGCTGAACCTTTCCCACATCCATGGGAGGTGTCTGCAGCCCACACCTCCCATGGGCTGTCTGGGGAGAATTCTCTTCAGCTCAAAGGTGCTGGAAGATTCGTTCAGACGGTGGAGCCAGTCTGTGACACAACCCTGGCAGGTCGGGAAAGCCTTGGCAGAGACTGTGGATCCCAAAAAGCCTCATCAGGTGAAGTTTGGGAAGCACACAGGAGGTGGTGGCTTTGCCCCTGGGGCCATTTCCCTCACCCCACCCCCACACCCCTGCAAAAGGTGGTCCTGAAGCACACAGTCTTCTTTTTTTTTTTTTTAAGATTACAGTGCCTGGCCCTGAAGGGGCTCCTGTGTCAGCACAAGTCCTACTGTCCCTGTGTCCCTCATTCCCCACCACCACTGTGGGGTTTCCATTGTCTAGGGAGATTGAGAGTCAGAACGGATGCCAAACCAGCCACCCAGGACATCCAGCTGGTACTTCAAGTCTACTCAAGAAAGACAACAGCTTTCATTGTGTAACAGGGTCTCACTAGTGCAGAGGAGGCCAGTCCTTTGTTTTCCCCCAGGGCCTACTCCACCGCCCTCTGACCTTAAGCTTTCCTCATTGGGCATATCATACCAGGTGCCTCTCAATTCTGGCCATGTCCTGGTCTAAGGTGCTGTCTCCAGTAGGCTCCTGTGGAAAAGTTGCCACAGTTCAAGAGGTTCATAGCCCCTCGCTGCCCCCCACCCACCACCCCCTGGTGGTGAGTACTGAGCTAGGCAGAGCAGGGACTCCTCTGAAGTGCAATCCTGAGAACTGGGAAACTATCACAAGCCACCAGAGCCAGCAGGGCTTGGGCCATGGCACCCAAGCTAGATGGCTCCATAGGCTGCTTGATTCTACTTCCACTGAGGCATCCACAAGGTGCAGTTGCCTAGGCAACCTCTGACTTAACCTGGGGAGAGGCCAAGACCCAGTCAACCCCATAGACAGAGGTCTATGGCAAAGTGAGGTGAGATCCACGAGGCCCTATTAGGGTCCATGTGAAGAGCAGAGTGTTTCCTGGGCGCAGGGCTCCCAAGTTCAGCCACCAGCTCACATTGCCAGGCCCAGAGTCTGGAGGAAGCTCCCCATAGCTGCCCCCCCATACCCTTCCCTTTGGTCACCTGAGCTGGGGGCCCATGACATCGTAGACAGTTATGATGGGGAAGCCGTTGAAGGTGGAACTCATGGAGCTCTTGTAGGCGCCCGTGTTAGGGAAAAGCAGCCAGTCACCCACATCCAGCTCCGGCAGCTGCACCTCCTTCAAGGAGATCCTGTCAAAGGCATCACATGTGGGGCCATAGAGGGTGCAGGGAAAAAGGCGGGGCTCCGAGGGGAACTCCTGCAGGGAGAAGGAGATGGGGTTGGAGAAGGAAGGGTCTCATTACATTGCTAGGATGTTAGACATAGCCCTGGGAGACATGTGGCCGTCCAGTGAGGACAGCACCATCCAACCACAGTGAACAGTGACAGAGTGGCTGTTCTGTGCAAGCCTGGAGCTTGCCATGCACGAGGCCTTGTCTCAGCCTACAAGCCCACAAACATATCACATGTGCACACTGGAGTCACTTAGGGAGTTTTGATGACAAACGGATGCTGAATTCACCCTGGGGATTTAAACCTATTTATAAATGTGAGAACATGGCTGGGCAGTGGGGACTCTGACAGCTTGGCAGATGGCTGTAATGGCTTAGGTACCACTACTCTCCAAGTCTCCTACATCTCCAACATTCCAGAGTTCCAAAAACACACACAGAGAGACGCACATGGAAGCATCCAGAGCTGAGCAGACCCATGCAGCCTCCATGGACACATGTGCCTGCACAGGCATGAATTACCAGGTGTGCCCCGGGAAACACATACAGATGTGTACATGCAGTGCCTCACACTTGTGTCCAGCATGACAACCTGCAGACCGTGGGTGACCTGAGACCCTGCCTCTTGAGTCAGAAGCTGGACTTGGTGGTCTCAGGACACAGAGGGTCCCCTTACCTTCACCACAATGGGTATCCTGGAGACAGGCTCCCTGAGGAAGATTCGGAAGGCACCATAATAGCCCTCATTGAGATAGTATGCCAGCTTCCTGTGGCCTCCTGGGAACAGGAAGTAGACAGGATGAGTTTTCATTATTACCTCTTCAAGGATTGATTCGCTGCCTGCCTTGACACCTGCAGAGACCCCCCTCACATGGCAAGTTCCAGGTCAGCCTAGACTACACGAGACCCTATATCCACAAACAAATGTCACAGTGAAGATGCTGGCCTACTCTCCCTTCTCAGCCAATCCACTCTACGTAGTTAATGCATGCAGGAACTCCCTGGGAAACTGTGTGTAAAAATTTATCTGAGGCAGCTGTCTCCATGTAAGCATGTCCTGCCATAGCTAATTAGAACAAATCCTTAGGACAAATCCGGGTGTGCTGTGAAACAGTGCCCACTTTGACAGCACCGACGGCTGCAGATGGCTCACTCCCTCACAACACGCTGCCTCTATGGATATTACTCAAACAAGCCTGTGGCAGCTTTTCTCCTAGCTCCCTCACACTCTTTCTTGTTACATGACTCCCAGATCCTCTAGGCACAACGGTCTACCAAGCCTGTTCTTCACAGCCATCTTAGTCTGTCTTCACATCATCGCTCCTGATCCTGCGTTCAGGATTCCAGTCGGACTCTGTCAACATCTGGGCAATAGGTGGCCATTTGGATGCTGACTCTGAGTACAGATTTTCTCACCTCTGGTTTCCTTTCTTTCTCCTCCCTATCTCCTTAACCCCAATTCCATTGGTACCCAGATCAATTCTGTATTGAGTTCTTCATGAGGTGAGGGATGAAGGGCACCAGCCCTGGAGTCAGGAAGACATGGGATGGTTGCTTTACTGACTAGCTGTGCTGCCTTGGACAAGACACTGCCTCTCTTGGAGTCTCCATGCCTACACATGTTCATAGGGGGGCGGGAGTGACCCAGAGCTGTCTCACAGGATTGGTGAGCAGACATGAGGTAGAATATGTATTTCAGCTGTCATTGACTTCTGCAGATCGGCAGCTCTTGCTTTTGTTGCTGTAATGAATAACAAGCTCCCAGATCCTTGTAATTGGCTGTGGTGAGATGGCTGAGGACAGGTGCTCTACACCCCAGCATCCTCTAGCGAGACACTTCATCAAAAGGATGAGGGGGTCAAAGTGACAGGTAAATATTTACATGTCAGCATCACTCAGTCCTGATGATCCAGTGAATGCCGACCTGGGGATATTCTCGATTTCGCCATGAAAACATTTCTGGTTCATTCTCTGGGAACATGGCAACACCACCTTCCTCCCACACTCAGAGGCAAAATAGCTGAAGAACTCTCCTGGGAGACACGGTGATGAGTGTCAAAAGGTACTGTCACCGAGGATGTCAGCCTTCGGGATGCAGCCGATCACAGGCAGTCAGTCCTGCTTATCTGTTGCGGGAGCTTGTACTCGAGCACTCTGCTATTGATAGAAACTGTCACCTCCTGCACCCAAGGGTCTGCTCCTGGCTGACGAGGTTTAGTAATGGGTGTCTAGGGCCTTGGAGGCTGAACCTTGCAATTGCTCGCTCAGGGCTGGGTAGACTTACCCACTACCTAGAAGAACACCTTGGTCTCTGTCCTTCATCTTACCCTCTTGTGAGGAACAGTAAACAGTGCACATACAGGGTGGTCCAGTGCCCAACTCTGATCTCAATTCCTATAATTAGGCACCCAGGGTATACCCAAGACCCACAGTCCAACCTCTCCCCGAGTCCCAGGGACATCTGGACAGTGGCTACACCTGGCACCCACCTGACTCCAGTGTAGCCTTCTTGGCTATGATGTTCACAGCCGTTGTGCATACAGACTCCATATAGAAGCGGCCGGGCTCTGCGATGACCTTGACGCCAGTCCCCTCCGGGAAGTACTCGGCCAGAGCAGCATTGATCACTCTAGCCATCTGTGGAGACAGATCCGGCCTCTGCTGTATCCTGAGTCTATGCAACGGTCATGACCAGCCCCCTTTCCTGTGTCCCTACAATAGCCATTCAGACAGCAAGCTCACCTCATCTTATTCAAGAAGAAACAGATAGAAATGAAGCTGGGAGAGGCCAAAGCACACAGCCAGTGTGTGGCTCTGGCGCCCTGAGGAATGTGACATTGCAAATAATTGGCACATGGTCAGCAGAGACAGGATGTCTTTGTGGTCCCCTGAAGCTAAGGGGCCAGGAGTGTCCTCCAGACCTATCCAAGGCCAGCGCTAACGTGTCTAAAGAAGGACACAGAGGGGCTGTGGAGATAGCTCGGGGGTATAACACCTACCTCATGTGAGGCTGGGAATGAAAAAGAAGAGGATAGGACGAGGGGGAAGAAGGGAAAGGAGGGAGAGGAAACTGTTTTAGATGGAGCTCCTGGTCTTGGACTAGAGCTGTGAGGCAGCAAAAGAAGCACAGCAAGGGGGGAGGGGTAGGGAGCTAGGAGAATGAGAGGGGGAGAAGAGGAGGGATGCCGAGGACATGAGGGAGCAGAAAGTATGAGTCAGGGGAAGAATACACGATAACAAGAATGGAGATATCATAATAGAGGGAGACATTTTTGATTTACAGAGAAAGCAGGCACTAGAGAAATGTCGGGAGATCTACAAAGATGACACCAGCTAACAATCTCAGCAACGGAGGAGAGGCTACCTTAAATGCCCTCCCCTGATTATGAGATTGATAACTGACTTATAGCCATCATCCAGCAGCTGGTGGAAGTAGAAGCCGACACCCATAACTAATCACCGAACTGAACTGGAACCCAGATGCAGAGAAGGACGAGTGAAGAGCACAGAGGTCCAGACCAGGCTGGTGAAACCCACAGAAACAGCTGACCTGAACATCCGGGAACTCTTGCTCCCCAGTCTGATAGCTGGAATACCAGCATGGGACTG